ATTTTGGTTCATATCCGGGTCATTTTGGTGTCATTTTTTTGGTCATTTTGGGATCATTTTTGGTCATTTCCGGGTCAATGGGGGGTCATTTTTGGATCAGTTTGGGTCACAAACATAAACACATAAACACCACCGGTTTTCTGGGGGGTCTTTTCTCTCTCACCTTCTTGGCCTTGCTGATCAAATTTCTTTATGGGTCATATTGGGTAATTTGGGGTAATTTCTGGTCATTTCCGGGTCTTTTTCTGGTCAGTTTGGGTCAGAAACATAAACACAAACACCGGTCCTGTTCTCTCTAGGGGGGTCTTCTCTCTCTCACCTTCTTGGCCTTGCTGATGAGGGAGCGGATGATGTCTTTGCTGTTTTTTCTGAGATAAAAGGGGACTGAAACACTGGGAAACTTTGCTGTTTTTCAGCCTTTAAACATTGGAAAACCTTGCTGTTTTTCAGCCATTAAACATAATTAGGGGGTTTAACTCCTTACAGGAGCCCTGCCAAATGCATAAACATAAACACATAAACAGGTCCTGTTCTCTGGGGGGTCTTTTCTCTCTCACCTTCTTGGCCTTACTGATCAAGGACCGGATGATGTCCTTGACGTTGTGGCTCCGGTCCCTCTGGAAGTAGATCTGGGTCTCGGAGGGGCCGAAGCGGGCGGGGGCCTGCGGCCAGCCCAGCTCCAGCAGGGGCGGCTCCTCGTCGGACATCATGGGGAAGTAGGTCCCGGAGGTGAGCTCCGAAACGGCGTCCTGGTCCTGGACGTCCCCAAACTCCCCCAAATCCCCAAAATCCCGTTCCGGGGGGGTCTCGCCCGGTTCCTGGTGGGGGTCCGGGCCCAAAGCCTTGTGGCGGCCGATGTATCGGATCTCGCGCGGGGACAGGAAGCTGAGCTCGCGCTCCTGCGCCAGCACGCGCCGGTACCCCGGCTCCCCGGCCTCCAGCAGCGCGTCCGTGGCCAGCCGCGCCGCCTCGTTGTGGCTGAGCTCCAGCGCCGGCTCCCCGGGGCCCGGGGCACCGGAGAACCGCCGCCACGGGCTCTTCAGGGCCTCCAGACGGGAGGCCAGCTTCCCCAGAGGGGGGGGGCGCCGCGGCCCCTCCGAGCTCAGCATGGAGGGGGTGGGGTGGGGGTGGGGGGGGTTATAAAGGGGTTTAAAGGCAAAAGGGAGCACAGGAAGCCCCGTCTGGGCAAAAAAAATTCCCAGTATTGGACTTCCAAGTCGGAATATTTAGTTCAGAAAAAGTGGATAAGTGGATAAAAGTCAAATTCTGGTTTGTGGTGGAGGGACTCCTGTAAGGAGTAAGATGCTCTAATGTCGTTTTGAAAAAAACAGAAAAGCTCCCCAGTATTTGAGTCCCCAGTCGGAATATTTAGTTCAGAAAAAGTGGATAAAAGTCAAATTCTGGCCAGTGGTGGAGGTGGTGGAGGGGGGTTAAAAAGGGTTTAGAAGCAAAAGGAAGTAGAGCAAGCCCCGTCTGGGCTACAAAACAGCAAAAACAATGCCCAGTGTTTGACTTCCAAGGCAGAATATTTAGCTCAGAAAAGTGGATAAAAGTC